CATAAAATTAAATAGATGACTTAAATAAATATTTCAACAGTAAATTCTATGAGCTTTTCAGAATTCATATGAATTTTGTTGATATGTGTGTTTAGTGCAAATATAGCGAAATGTATTCCACGCGTTCAACGTTATCACCATGAAATGCGATATTGTTGATAAAAATGAATTTTTTAAAGCATTTTTGCATTTTGGTCATGATTATGATTTATAATCGTATTAAACTATCAGTTCTTGTTGACTTAAAATACTTCATATCAATCTCGTCACAGAACATTTTTTGAAAAATTAAAAATATAAACAGGATTAAAATTTTAAGATATTTCTTAACTCCACAAATAGAAGAAGATGTTTGTGTTTGCAAAAAAATCGATTATCTATTTCTATGTTTTCTCGACGTTTTACAAGTAATTTTGATTTATTTAACATCAATTGTTAAAATTAACTTTATATAAAAATTCAATCTAAGTTAGTTGTAAAATATTATAAATAATGTGGCAAGATTTGTTAGTGCCTATATATATATTTATATATATATATTTATATATTTTTATTTTTCATTTACTGACCTAGATTTGATTTGAATAAATTGAATAAAGTCAATACTTAAATTATTCAATCAATTATCATACAATATGATGTAAATAATTTTGCAGACATATATAATTATTTCTTCATTAACTTCTTCTATATTGAATAGAAAATGAGTCGTATTTAGAATAAACGTTCTTCATAAATATTAAAATGGTGAAAATGAGATTATGGACTTTTGCTTTATATAAACAATTGAGTAAGAAATCTGAAATTAATTTATATTGAGTGAAATAAATATTATTATTAACTAATATTTTACTTTTTCATGTAGTTTTTATGAAAAAATATTAGTTGAAGTCGTTGAGTTTATTATTTGTGTAGGTGCGTGCGTCAGTAAATATAGTTTGAACCTATATTTTAAAATTATCTTTTTTTATAAAGAATCTGCATATTGGCCATTTGTTTGCGAACGTTTTTTATGACGTGCATTCCAAACGAGATAATAAATTTGACGTAAATACCTTCACAATTTGTTCTATAGAAAGAAAAGTACACTGAGGGTTCAACAAAAACAAAATCGTATACATGAAAGTATTTATTTCAACCGTAGTTGAAATACTATTGTATGCAATTTCATAGCTTCTATAATACTAATTTTTGATCATTAAAATCATAATATTTCTATCACAGCTTATTACAATTATTATCCTTCTTACGTGCATAGCCTTTGACTATAAAATTCCTTTACCTTTATGTAATTTATTACATTTTATTCCAGTATAGTTCTAAAACTGGATTGTATATCATCTTGAAGTTGCTCAAAGTGTTCCTTAAGACCAGCCTCTCCTTCTTTGACAGGATCCTTAAATTTCATAGAACTCAATCTATATAAAATCTGACTCATTGATTCCCTAATAGCATTCCAATTAATAATTTATTATCACACTGAGCCGTACTTTCCACTGTCTGTCTTGCCAAATCGTAAAAACTGATCATATTCCTCAACATGCCCACAGTTTTATAAAAAGGACAAAATCTGTCGTAAGGCGAATAGCTATTCTGTTGCAGAAAATCATCTTTTAACATCCTGGCGATTTCTAAAGTTATTATATCCACTTCGGCAAGTGATGCTCTTCCGACCAGTTGGACGATTTCTGCTAAGTCTTCCTCCTCTTCTAAAATTTGTTTAACTTTTGTCCTGAGTTGGACGAATTCTGGGAAGTGTTCGTCGTAGAATGGATCTAGGGCGGTTGTGTATTTGCTATATGAGATTAACCAATTTATTGATGGGAAATGTTTTCTTTGGGCTAGTTTTTTGTCCAGACCCCAGAATACCTGAGTAATTTAATAATTACTAATTAATAATTATTGTAATTTAATAAGTAATAATAATAAAGCTTGTAATAATAGATAAGCTTTAGCTAGATTTGGTCAATTTCTTTTTGCAAATTTCAACTTCAGTTATATCCGCTAATTTCAAGTCCAGTAAATATAATGGATTGTGTTTTCATTACAATTTCAATGTCCTTTATTTGGTAATGATAAATATTATATTTTCTAAAATTACGTATGAATCTAAGTTATAATATCTTCAAGGATTAATAATTTGATCCTTTATAATTTGAGGCAAAATCCATCATCTTATCAGATGCACAAGTTGTGTTGTTGATTTTCAAGTTTTGCTCTTGGCTTTTATAATGTTGGGAAGTACTTTATAATATGAAGAAACTTCTAAATTGCAATCTATATATTATGCTTAAAATCAATTTATAAGTAGAAATTCAATACCTCTGTTTAAAACTACATGCAAAATTTTCTTCAATGTACTAGAATTTAATGTTCTTCAAATGGCACTCATATTTCACATTTTTATCCATTTAGATCAAGTATTAGCTTTCAATTACTTATTGCGCCTACATCGTTTCAATTACATATAATCGCCTACACAAGTATGATCAGCACATACATTCATATTTACATACTGGTTCCCATAATTAAACGTAAACCAATTAATTAAATTTGACTAGCACCGTCCCACATTTCCGAATCATTTGTACCTAAACCAGATTTTATATGAGGGCTTTATATCGGAGTACGTTATTTTCCTATCATATGTGGGTTATTGCATAATTCTGATAAATTTAAAATACGTGCATGGAATTTTACTAACCTGCACTATTCCAAGTGTAGCAGACGTGACCGGATCAGAGAAGTCTCCTCCGGGCGGAGACACGGCGCCAACTATTGACACGGAACCTTCCCGGTTCGGGCTGCCGCAGCATCGGACTCGGCCTGCACGCTCGTAGAATGATGCCAGACGAGCTCCTGGATATAATAATAATAGATATAATAATATAATTAAAAGTAGCGTTCATAATTTATCATAATTTGATCAGATAGCAATCGGATATCAATAGTTCTATGAGCACTTTGAGCTTTTGTAAAATAACTATGGTGTGTAAAATTAAAAAATCCTCCATAGTCCCCCCCCTAATTTAATAACATTGTTGACCAAAAAAAAATATATGGTGCGCTATATAATTATATACAATCTAATAAAATAAAATTGTAAAGTTAACTTATGTAATGCATATGACTAATGTACTTGCATACAAAGTCAAAAAAAGGAAAAATAAAATGCAATAGATAGACCATGTTACAAAAATGAAATAAAGTATTCTACTACAGTGTTTTCAGATAACTACATCTCTTCCAAAAAAAAATATTTAAGTAAGTTTTCTTATTCATTAACAGTTGGAACAAATATAAACTAAGTGTAATTGGTGTTTTTCCGTAAGGAAAGTTGAATAACTTCTCGTGCAGATAATAGACTCGATCAATAAGAATTAGGTTTTAGCGAAGTACCTATAGGTATACGGTATATGTATATTAAGGTGGTTCTTAATATGGATATTTTCGAATTCCTTTGCTCTCAGAGGCTCAAATGCTTTCAAATGATAAAAAAATTTCTGAAAGATGAAGCTCTTAATACTAACTTTAAGATAGTTCGCACACCAACTAAACTTTCTTATGGAAATAACATGGGTAAAATTCTTTTGTTTTTAGATTTTTTAGAGAAATAACATTTGATTTGTTTATTTTGATCATAAATAAAAAAATACAACAAAAATTTGATATATTTTATAAAATAAGTTTATACTTAGGAACAAAAATCTATTAGTGGATTATCTTAAAATTTTTAAGATTTTTTTTATCGATTTGAAAGCATTTTAGAAATTCGAAAATATATTCACTTCACGACATTTAATGTATATGCTATAACATGGATTTGATTAAAAACAACACAGCATTTTTTTCCACACCACACCTCTTAGAGAATGACTCAAACAAATTATTTTGAACCCAACTTCATCAAAAATTAATTTTTTCTGCTAATATTTATTACACGCAATACCAGAAACGAAAACTCTCGCACCTTAATATTCGTTCACAAATATTTGCTAATAAAACGTATGCTACAAACCTTTTGAAAATCACTTTGTTCATTTTTATTAATTTTCTTTGAAAGCACGAAAACAACTTACTAGAACGCACACTTAGGTATTGTTTTACGAAAGCAAACAGGTTTTAATTAAAATTTAATGAAAAATGTGATTCTTGCCAACATTGTTGTAAACTAAGTTTGATAGAGGGAGAAATTCTTGATGATGAGTTCTTTTTTAGATAATATCTAAATACGAGAATTAAAATTAATTGAAATGAACCAATTGAACCAATGAATTTACAAAAATAAAAACGCAGCTATTAATTGGCAAAATATTCAAATCCAGTAAAACCTCGTTAAAACGATTGCTCTGGGACCAAACCAAAATGCGTCCCAAGTGAAAAAGCGTATTAAGCGGGATGGGAACATCGTATTTCAAATTTCATTGACCGGCGTAAAGTGGCGGTATTATGCAAGATCGTCTTAACGGGGTTTAGCTGTATTTTATATTACTTTGTCTGTCATCAGAGACCTTACGTGCTTTTGATGTTTTAATTACATTCATATAATACCTAAATAAGCCGGATATCCGGAATCTGCAGGCATTTCAGCCAATCTTCCCGAAATTTCTCTCAAAGCTTCTGCCCATCTGGAAGTCGAATCTGCCATCATCGCCACGTGAAATCCCATATCCCTAGAAAGGAAATTAATATATAATAAATACTTAATTTTATAAAATTTGGTTAGGTCGATGTAAATGTGAAATAAAATTTAAAATATTACTAGCAGAAAAAAATTATTAAAAAATAGTTGCTTGAAATAATGTTCATTATTTTAGAAAACATTTTCCATTGTCGTTTATAAGTTATAGTCCGATAAAAATATGAATAATGTATATGCATAAAATGAAAACACAATATAAAACTACCTGAAATATTCTGCAATTGTGATACCGGTGTATATAGAAGCTTCTCTAGCAGCCACAGGCATGTTCGATGTATTTGCCACGAGCGAAGTTCTTTTCATAATAGATTCAGTAACGCCATCAATTTCCACGGTAAGCTCAGGAAAATCTCGGAGAACTTCCGACATTTCGTTTCCACGTTCTCCACAACCGACGTAGACTATCACGTCGGAATTCGAGTATTTTGATAAAGCCTGGGTAAAATATAACGTTTATTTAAAACTGTCAATATTGTTCATAATAAGTGTACACTGACTTGGGAATGACAGTTTTTCCACATCCAAAAGCACCAGGAATTGCAGTCGTTCCTCCTTGGACACAGGGGAAGAGAGCGTCCAGGACACGTTGACCCGTCAGTAAAGGATAATTTGCCGGCAATTTTTCTATTACTGGTCTAGATTGACGAACAGGCCAAACCTAATGGATTAATGAAAATTTATGATGCAAAAAAAAACAATTTGTTTCAAAACAGTATTCAGAACAAATGTCCTTTGAGCTGCCGTGTTGATACTTCTTAGCTCTGGCAACTCATTGGTTGTTCTAATAGTGATTTTTAAGTTAAATATTTACCTGCATCATGGTATGTTTAGTAACTTCTCCTTCATATTCTGTCTCCATTATTACATCTTCTACATCGTAATAGCCTTCAGGTGCAAGATACTTCAGATATCCTTGTGCCTTAGGCGGCAGCATCATCTTGTGCTGCACTAATGTATTTTCGTGGACTATTCCATAAATGTCACCTCCAGCCATCGGCGTATTCAGCTTTAGATAGATTATACATTTAATCAAATCGATAAAATCGGGTGTAACTAGTACTTCGGATAAAATATAGCATGCTGAAGCCGGAATTTTGTCAAAGAGAAAAATCACACGAACGAGGTAGGAATTTTAATAGTGCTTTGCAGATGTTTCGCAAAAAAGTTTTGAATTTTTTTATTTAAAAAAAAAATAGTAACAATTAAACAATCAACCAATTTGTAAAAACTACTATAATTAATATTATACAGATATCTCCATTACTATTATAACATGAATCCTTTACCACTATCCTCTTATCCTTACCTTAATTTTTTTGGGGGTGAAGTCCCACTTGACGGTCCTCGAAAGTGCTGGTATGTTTATCCCTTTGGGGATGTATATTGATCCTGTAAGACTTTGTATATCGTGTAAGGGCCTTTGTACTCCGTCCACAATGCAGCCTAATATTCCTGGACCCAATTCCACTGATAGCGGTTTGCCCGTACGGGTCACTGGATCTCCGACGGCTAAGCCGGAGGTCTCTTCGTAAACCTTTAATAGAAAAAGGAAACTGCATAATTGATAAAGAAATCATAAAGATTAATGAAAAAATTATTTGATAGATTTATTAAATATTAGTGGTTATAGTATCTTTTCGTTCTGTACCTGTACAGTTGCCATGTCGTTTTCCAGCCTGATTATTTCCCCGACCAGCTCACAATGTCCTACCTTGACCAACTCATACATGGCAGTGCCGGACATTTTAGCAGCTGTAACCACGGGCCCCGAAACAGAATAAACGTAACCCAAAGTATCTTCGTCTTCGTCATCATAAAAATCTCTGCTTCCACCTGTAAATCTTTTGTCGATACTTTTACTATTTTTGCTTCCTTTGCTGATTCGACTACTTCTATCCAAGGATGTTGTATCCATTTTGAACTATTTCATAGCTGTCAAAAAAAGACAAGTGAATTGTAGTAAAATATCGAAACATCGGATTGAATTAATTCATTAATATTATTATAATATTGTATTAATAACTATAATGTGAATGGCTAATGAGCATAAAAATTGGAAGTCCTTAAGGACTATGGTCCATCGTCTTAACCACTGGACCATCTTTAATAATAATAATATTACAAATTTAAAGTTCATGGACTAATTGTTTAAAAATGTACTCTTAAAAAAATATTGAAAATAAGTAATAAGGAGCAGCAGAGTATATTATACAAATATATTTTGAACATTTTTTTTTAATATTAAATGACAGTATTTTTACAGGTGTATTTGCTCTATAAATAATTTTTACTAAAAGCGATTGTAACAAATAAAATAACATTTCCACAAAGATTTGTTCGCCCTGATCTGGGACAATCTAAAACCGGTTGTAACTTTATGCTCCTGTCTGACGTCAAAATAATCGATTTACCGGCAGTTTTATAACCCAGTTTATCGAAAGCAAAAGTAAGGAAAATTTTATTGATAAAATTACTTCCTCACATGTAATGTTAAATAAACTGCAAAATTATTTTTCCCAGTTTATTAGCGCAGGTGTTCTGAAAAATGCAAAATTCACAAATTCTATTCTACTATATTTGCGTATCTATTACAAGTTCTTGTAATTTTCCATAATTTTGTGAATTCTGTAACTAAATCGAATTGTGTTTTATTGTCGAAGTTATTGTTTGTTATCTCGTTTGAACAAATTGTTTTTTAAATGAACGAGCAAATATATGCGATAATATTTGCTTTAACAATTTAACGCACCTTGAAACGATAGTGAAATAATATATTTACAAGAAATTTTATTTAGTAAAAAAGACTGAGAAAAATTGTGATTTCAAGGGAATCAGTCAATTTAATAAAATCGACTACAAAGTATAAAGTCATGGAAGAAATTGATAATGATAATATCATGTGCCAATTATCATTGCTATAATTTTAATCATATCACAGCAGATTTCATTGTTTAATGAATACAAAATCACAAAAAAACTCTATTTTTATTCTGTTGTCTCTATTCAAAGGCGAGATTACATTATGTCACTATGAGTAATAATGAATTACAGCACATTCAGGTAAATCCCAGCATGGAAATGAATTAGACCAACAGATGAAAGTGTTTATGTAAAACACACAATTAATTATTCGTTTTTTTTTGCACTGTGAACCGAGTATTTATACGATGCTAAAACTCTTAATTGAGTCGTTAAAATGATAAGATATGATAAGCATAAATCAAAAGTATAAGGACTTATACAACACGATTCTCGGTTTTCGAGTTTTAATTCTAGGAAATACCGGCTTGTTGCTTCGATATTACAAACGAAACATATGTTTGTACTATCAGATATTTTTATACATTTTTTTATAGAGTTAATTGCGTGAATTAACTTCCGGAAATTCCCAACACTCTCAGTTTCTTGCTACAACTTTTTTATAATGTGTCTAATTATAACTCAAATCATATATTTACTGAAATTTGCATAAATTTTTATATACATTTTTTACTCCCATTTTTTCATCTAGGTTTTATCCCTATGTTCATTGTTTTTAATTATAAATATTGAGTTCAGTTCTATTTTTATATAAAATGAGCATAACTTTTATTCTAATGGTATTCATATGCCAAATATTTCTTGTTGCATTTAAATAATATCATAATATAAATATTATGTTTAGTACAAAGTATATAAAATGCACTAAATTAGTTTTATACGTTATAAAATGATGCCAAAAATTTCATATGTGCATTTTCCTCAGAAATTGTTGAGATGTTATGCGGGAGACTTTTATGTGCATAACTTTGTAAAAATATCATATAAAATGAGAAATTGTTTTATTATTTAAAAGAATTATTCAAATATTTAAATTTTGAAAATTAGGACAAAATAGTTAAACGAATAAATTTTTAACTTCCCGTAGGGCAAGCCATAGTAATCGCAAAAAAATCGAAAATGAAAATTTTTATATATCTTTACGTCTCAAAACCTACTGAACATTTGGTGTGTGTGTATGTGTGTGTGCGTGCATGTGTTTTTGTGCGGATACAAATTTTGGGTTTACAAATTATGGGTTGATTTTCCGTGGATTTAGAAAAGATTATCCAATGACCTACCTTCGTTAATTTTGGAGGTTTTTTTACATGAAATTAGATGGCTAAATTCTTGAATTTGGTACTTCTTGTATTAGTTTTTGGATTTACTATGACCTGAGAATATTTATAACAAATGCATTAAATGTTTTCTGCAAATATATTGTAAATTGTTATATAAATTAGGAATAAACAATTTTTAGTCAAACACATCTACAAATCAAATTCCATGGAACAATAGAGAACCTTGGTGAAGGTATCTTGTTCTTGTCTATGAATATGATTTATATTATATATATATATATAGATATATATATATATATATATATATATATAGAATATATCTTGGTCATCTAATTTCCCGGTATATTTTTAATTTAATTCTCCATTAACATAAAAAATACATTGCGGATGTAAACATCACAATAATATTATGTTTGACAGAAGCGCTAACAATGTTTTACAAATGGATTTTTAAATTCATTTCATGTTTATTCATAAATCATGTATGACACCTCTAAATTTACATACACACATTATAAATAAAAATCAAAAATGATTAAAGTACAATTATGTTCAGTAGTTCTATATCGTCGTCATTAGGTACTATCAAATTTAGAGTTGAACATTTTTTTCACAATTTGGTTTTTATATTTGTTCAAATTATTAAAAAAACCAATTGGCATTTAGTTGTTTCTGCTGTGTATAGAATTGTTGGAAATGTCTTCATTGTATAAAAATACATAACAAGTTTAACAAGTTTATTATGTTTCTCGGTAATAAGATTATATACAAAATGCATTTGCAGCCTTGGTTGAGCAACTGTCATTAGCCGCGAGGTAATTTTTTAATATTTCCTTATAATAATACATACATTGATAAAATTCAACATGACAGTTGATAAAAAAATTAATATTTCTAAATTTATATTAATACTTTATTCAAACATTTCTCATGTTTATATTTGCGCGTACATAGCCTTGAGTATAACGTTTTTTTCCAAATATCATTTTCAGTTCTATAAAAATTAGTTGATATGTCTATATCCAGAATTTATACGACGTAATTCTATTAACATTGGTTTATAAATTTGGTGTAGGAGTTTTTGTTGTTTGTCCATAAAATTATTATTCGCATACCATAATTAAAATTGCGGAATTTGATGAGCAGTTTTTGAGAATAAAGCACCACACTTGCATTAGATATCGTCTCTAAATATTGCAAATGCCTCAACAATATTTTGGGTCGTCCAAAAATGTTGTGAATAGTCTAAAAATGTTGCAAATGGTCTAAGAATGTTGCAAACAGACAAGAATATCTAATAATTAAATTGCGAAATTTGATATGCAATTTTAAAAATTAAACACCACATTTATATTTGATATATTTTTAGCACTTTGTGTGAAAATCACTAAAACTTGTATAAGATAATTATAATACAATCATGAGCTGATAAAATCATAACAATCATAAATAATGATTTGCGAGTAATTTTAAATAAATTTACGTAACTACTATTACATATGTTTCAGCATAAAATTTCTTAATTAAAAACAAAGCTAGTAATAAGCAACAGCAAGGATTATTTATTCATAGATTTATTTAAAAAAAAATTATCTTTGATTACACAATAGCTCATTTACAAACAATCTGGGCAATTGTGATTAATAATAATACAAATCGTTCAAAAACTATTTGTCAGTATTGATCCAAAATTATCAAGAATAACAATAATCAAAATAGCAAATATGTACTGACATTATTGTGCCTAGGATAATTAATCACTAAAACACTTGCATTTAGTTTTATATACTTCTATTAAATATCACAAACATGGTTATCATATAATAACTAATAATAATCAAATTTAAGAGGATGTGCAATATGGATTTTTTTGAAAAAACTATAAACTGGATGTATAATATTAGCAACAGAGTAGTAGACAAATTATCCTGAGCACACAGCAGTCAGTAATTTTTTTATATCTGCACCTATTCCACCTCAGTAAATTTTTGATGGTACTTAGAATGTCTGTAATAGTCAAGATGCATTTGCAACATGTTTTTTTTGTTCATTTCTATATTATATTTATTTCTTTTATAATATTATTTTTCTTTCCAGATAACCATCTCCTCTGCTTACCCGCCACACTACCTCGACTTCTGGCAGCACGACCCCCCAGCCTATTCGCCCCAAGGAGACTCCTGGAACTCGGACCCCCTATCGGCTTCAGCAGATCGTTCTTCATCCCGTCGCATCGACTCGTCCCCATCAGGCGACTTCCACCACAATCATCACCAGCAATATCCAGAACGCCGATATGATGGTAGACACGACTACGGAGAAGGCGTCCAGAATCCGCACCGGAGGGTCGAGCAGCAGAGCCCTCCTTACTCGAATGTTGGCTTATACGGAACTGTGCATCCTAGGGACGGTGTTGGCGTTCGTGTGGCTGACGGTCCTGGCCCAAATGTTCAGGGCCAGGGTCACGGCGTCGTCGGCGGGTTTCCGAACCAGATCGGTACAGGAGGACATTCGGGGAGGAGGAAAGTTAGGCCGCACGTAAATGGTAATAATTTACTAAATAATACTAGTGGTTTAAATAATTAAAAGGTCTTATTTTTATCGTTTCTAAACGCCTGGAGTAAATTTTTACATGAAACCATTTTTTTCCAACACGATGAATTTAGAATTTGAGCAAGGCAATATTGTGGATACTTTAAACAATCTGCTCTCGGCATTCCTTTGAAGTCCTTTTCAAATGTTAAAAAATTCTTTTGTTCTTGTTTTTTGCCTAGATTTTTGATTCTAGTGTAAAGATCATCTAAACTCTAAAAATTGACCAAGTTTGTTTTAAATTTTTTGAGAAATATCTAATATAGTATTTATGCTTTATTATTGATTGTTGTATCTTAAGGGGGTATTCTAGTGTAGAAATTCAAAAACTTGAATTTATTTTTATATTTCATATTTTCAAAGTTTAATTATCTATGAATATGGGTACGAAAAGGTTTTTGAAAATTTGAACTATTTTCGGAGATATAGGCATTTTACTGACTCGGTCTTCATACTCGTTTGGCTTCACGGAAAACTTTAAATGCGTTTTTCTCAGAACAGACTTTTTCAGTACTGTTGACACGATTAGTCGAGTTTTAATCGACCGATTCACTTGAAATATTCAGAGAGTCTTGTTTATAGACTTATCTATAGCCTGAACTAAGATTATCCCCAAATTCCAATTTTTACTATTTTTAAAAAATTCGAGAAACTCAAAAAACTAGGAGGGCTGAAATCATGTCAAGACTGAGATGCCAATTTTTTGAGACTACTTTATCAGCTGCCAGTTTCTACAATTTTCAACTTTTTTATTTTTTAATTTTTGTTTTGTATTTTAATAATATTAATAAATAAGTGGTAAAAAATGGATAGTAAAAACATTCATTGCTTTCTTTTATGACACTTTAAAAATGACCTAAAATTCATCGCTCTACACTAGAATACTCTCTTAAGTTATCCATTTCACAAAAATAGAATACTTATTTCAATTGTCTTAGAGTACATGTTGTAGATATAATATAAAGATGTAAATACAATAATGTTAACATTATAAATCAATATCGCTATTAGATTGTGATTAACTTTTCTTATTCTCACTGACTTAAGTTCATTAACGTGTGTGATCATACATCAATTTGTATCATTCTTAAATTAGAATTTTTTAGCAATTGAGCTTCTTAAAAACGATGACTTGAGATGATTAAAATACATCGCTTTTAGATGGGGTTTAGATATAAATTTCTTTTAACAAAATTCTTGCGTACCCGTAATTAATGCTGTTGACGCTTGAAAAATAATACTTCTTACAATATAAAATAATTAACAATTAACAAAATCAGGTCGTAGAGGCAGACGTAACGAAACTGCATTCATTCATGATATAAATAATGGGGCCCCTCAAGTACACAGACGCAATGGTACCTTAGTTTTGGTATATCCTACTCAGAAACCAACACTCACGAGAGGTAAGCGAGGTAAATCTATCCACGATATTCCTAGGCATGACGATGGTAAATCATCAAATTCACCAAATCACCAACTAATGGCAAGTCACGAATTCATCAAAGCACGGAATATCACTAATTCACCAATTCACAAAGCCTGTATTTTGCACATTTTCATCCACACCAGCACGTACACATTTGCTTTTCTCATCATTAGATTAATTTGGAATGGACATATACGCTTTATTCCAAAGGAGAAATGGAAATACCATTTTTGCAAAACGCTCTCAAGCACTTCTGCTTTAAACTAACTTCTGACTACCTGTAAGATATATTTCGTTAAATTTTTTGGGTCAAGGAATAAATGATGTACACTCTAGGCGGATTAAATAGTAATTTGGTGTCCAAGTTTAGTATTTGACCTGAACATCAAATTACCAGATCTTTTCAAGAAAATTTTGGTATGTTGTTCTGAAATTTAGAAGGATGCCTTTGTATTTTCAAGTTTAATCACACAACAGAAAATTTGTGCAATATCCAACGACTGAACTATGAAATTTTGAGATCAACTGTCTCTTATTCTTTTTTGAGTAACGGTTTGATTTTCTATAAACTACAATAAACAATATTTTGAATAAACTGCGTTTATTCTGATGCTGTACACGTCTGGTTATATCTATTTATAGCATGTTTCATCTATAATGATACATTTTTAGTGATACTAATTACTAATTTTAGAAGTTACGTTTAGATTAACATATGTTGTATTAACTTCTGCCAAACTTCATGTTCTATCCCAAATGTAAAGATCTACATTTTAAATTGCAAATTGTTCTTCACATTGCAAACTGTTCTTTATTCATCAATGACCTCAATTGTGACACAATATTATCATGATTTCAGGCGGCGAGGGACCAGATTCCGAAGGACCCGATATATTTTTCCCTACCGACCGACCCAACGCCGGAATGACCCCTGTGATAGCGGACAGAAACAAAGGTCTAGAGTGCGCCCGCGGGAGCACCTTTTGCGAAAAAGTAGAAGGTTACCCGAAAGAATTCTTGTCGACGATTCTGCAAAAGGAAGCAAGGAAATACATGGATCTGTTTGGTGAGGACCAGGTACGACAAAAAACTGTACGTATCATTTTGATTTTTTAAGTTTGCCAAAGCTGGGTTGTCGGATTCTTTGGATTTCTTCTTCTTGAGGCCTCTCTTTTTACGACTTCTGGTAATTATGTGCATGTAGTTATAGTAGATGGTTTTTAATTCTCCTGGAAAATAGAAGATCTACGATGCCAAAATTTCTACCAGCTCTGAGTTTTCAAAGTATTTTTAGTATTTGATAGACTGCCTGGGTTTGGATTTTTCAGTATGTGGTATTCGAGACTTGTATGCAAATGAAGTACATTTTTGCATACATAAAAATGCTGCAATATACAATACAGTGTTCACAGTATCCGATATATTTCTATTTATATTTTGTAAAATTAACATATTTAAATATTATTCACGTGTTGAGTTGAAATACTATCTTTGAATTTTTCAAATACATTTATGCATAAAATTCGACTTACTGGTTGCAATAGATAAATTTTTATCATTGGATGTTGAATTGTAACGAAAGTAAATATCAACCAAATATATCAAAAATATCTTTAGCATTAATTAATTAGCAATAATTTGTTTACAATAAATAGACCATATATAATTTTAATATTTGAGAAATTTCAGTTAGAATATTTAATATTAAATATTCTAACTAAATATTGGACAATTATGGTTTATTGTACAATTAACGTATTAGTTTTTTCATTTTTTTAGGTGGAAAGTGTTGTTAATGTTACAAATCGTATCGATTCGAATGACGATGAGCCTTTATGTGCATCCAAGGAAGAAATTGTGTACCCTCAAGCGGCTCAAAATAAGGACGACCAATGGCTTTATATAATCAATCAAGAAGGATATACGCAAGGAGTTCGTATTGAGAAATGCGCGTAAGGATAATAGAAATATATAATTTATAGCGTAGAAATTAGTCATTTATTTTATTGCTATATTGGATTTTCATTTCACATCTTCCTCTATTCCAGGGACACCAGCGGTCAATGCGGTTCCTTACAATTGCCGCTCAATTACGAAACCGGCTGCAAACAGAAATACATTTACCGCAAACTGTTGGCGGTAAACGGAACTGGCATTGTTTCTGATAGTTTTCGGCTTCCGAGCTGCTGCGCCTGCTATATACGAAATTCAGGAGCAGCAAGTAGAATCGCCGGAAATCCATTCAATGCTTCATCCAGACAAAGCTCGGTCCTGGACAAGTCCAGGACGGCTGCATCGACAGGATACAATTAAGTTTTTGCAACCATTTGTGATATTATGATATTTAGTAGTTGTATCGTTGTGTATTTAGTTATGGACGTTTACGAGAAAGGATTTGTAGTACGAACTCGTCACCTATGGTTTGAATATATGTGCTACCTTATATATTAATTTAAATTGATTCAAAATGTTGTAATTGATGTTGCACTGCATTAATTTACACAATGATAATAAGGCATTTGGGCATAAATTAGAAACTATCTAAGAGAATCATGCCTAATCAATATTTTACACATGTATTTTTATCAAAACATTTTTCATTGTCAACAATCAAAGTTCTTAAAACCACTTTGTTTTGTTAAAATATTATATACGTATAATAAAAAAAAATAATAAGAATAATGAAAATCTCGCGACATCGCAAGATATTAATAAATTTTTACTTCTAGTAAATTTTTACTCCAATAAATTGTACTATGATATTATGTATTTATCATATTTATGTTCGTCATAGTAATATAATAAATTATCTGAATTTAATTGAAGCATGTTGATAACTAATAGAAAATTTCACATAAATTATGTCTCCAGTTTTTTATAAAGCAATTTACGATAACTAACCATTAAATCTCGCCTAACTATATTTAAAGCATTTATGTAATAATGTTACTTTCCATTTTCTGAATATATTTAATTTAAATTTTATTACTTTAAGTAGTTATGTAGTTTGTTTTACAAATTTACAAAATCTTTATGATAAAATGAAAAATATAAATTTTTTATTTATGGTTGAGTATCTCAATAATGATCTCCGATAAAGACCTAATTAATTTTAAATCATTTTAGTTTAAGATTTTTACAAACCGGGTAAAAACAAACTGATGTTTCCATACCCAATACAATGCATACTTAGTTTTTAATTGTAAATATATTTCATTAGTAATATTTTATAATCCCGGTGATAGTTAAAAGATGATCAAAATTTAAGCTATAAACCAAAGTTATTGGTTATTTTTGTACATAACTTGTTTAATATTTGGTCAATGTACATATTGTATTTTTGTGTAATAAAACAAAAATAATTTTACGAATTTCAGTGATTGACTAATAATGTTTCAATTTGTAATCTGTATCACTAAAATATATATTAGTATATTGTATAGTTTGTAAGTAATTATAGTTAATATAAATTATTTTTAATAAAAGATTATTTAATGATATCTGTTTCTTCATTTTTCATTGAAATTCAAGGTAGTGTACAATTCTTTAAATTATTAATAATGAGTTATAATTTATTGATAATTATTAATTAATATTATTGAAAAATAAAAACTTATATAACTTAGGCATAATCAATTAATATAAAAGTGAAAATATTTGTATTGGATAAAGCCCAAAGAGGTCATTATTGTTTAAATTGGCTCAAAATTAAAAATCGATTATTACTGATCGATCTATTTGATAAAAATCATATTTTTGCATTCAGGCAACACCCAAATAATACCTCCAGAAAAGCATAACCAATTAATATAAAAGTGAAAATATTTGTATTGGATAAAGCCCAAAGAGGTCATAATTGTTTAAATTGGCTCAAAATTAAAAATCGATTATTACTGATCGATCTATTTGATAAAAATTATATTTTTGCATTCAGGCAACACCCAAATAATACCTCCAGAAAAAAGGTGTTCATTTTCGGTTCGGTTGTGGAAGAAGACATTTCTTGAGCAAAATGGGTTGTGTAAGTATTTTATTTTCGACTATTCAATTTAGTGATAAATTTGGGGATTTTTGCGTGTACATTACATTGTTTGTGTGATTAATATTGTGCAAAAGGAACAATTTATATGGCTATGAATATGCAGTTACACCGGCATCAAGCGTAATGGCGGGCGCTTGGGTAGTGCATCTAAAAGGTAGGAGACACGTGTTTATTACTTTTAGATTACCATTAGTAAAATAGTTATTAATAATAATATAGACGAACAAATGTATTTATTAAATTTCCATAATTACTAAATGCACACAAAATATGTCAAATATATCAATCACAGGGGCCCTTAACATGCGGTCCATTTCCGTACTGCTTTTCATAAAACTCAATATACTCCTTCTTCAATCGTTCGCGTTTTGCAAAATATTTCGGATACTGGGCTTTCTCCAAAGGATGCCAATAATCCATCACCCAATCTGAAGGAACAACATCTCGTGCATATGCCACTCCTCCAGGGCTCTGAGCAAATTTTATTGGCTGATAATGTAGATTTTGAAACAATTCTTCTTCACCTTCTGCCAACAATTCTTGGGAAATTTTAATGTTTGGTTCACACTTATGACAATCAAATCTGCTTCTCAACAAAGTAGCTTCGTATCGGAAAACATCTCTTTGCCAATACCAGGCTTCTAAATTACGCAAGGCCCTTTTATAAAGGCTGAGGACACTTCTCCGGTGGGTATTCATGGGAACGGATTGATCTGGAAAATTAGTATAAATTGGAAAAAAGACACGTCATTAGCAAATATCTCATCATAACTAATTACTAAATTATTAAAAGTTTAACAGTAAATTTACTGAATGTACAACCAACAAATTATTACCATCCTATTCCAATCTACATTTAGATCCTAAAATTCAACACAAGAGTAAATATTACCCAAAGTTCAAATGGTCTTGTCAATTACAGCACAATGAAATATAGTCATTTGTTTTTGGCAAAACGTATCCGATTCAAATTTTAATATATTGCCTGGTTTTGTATATATATTTTCGGGTGATGTGATATGATGGATTGCGTTGCAGCCGGCGAAATAATTCAAACAAATTGCACATTCCGGCATACTATAGGCAATTTTCATAGAAATAAAAAGATAAATTGTGAATTTATCTTTAGTTCATATTTTATGCTATATTATACAGAAATCGTTTAATAATGTGATGGAATAATGTACAGAACAAAGTTTTGAAATGGATTTCGAACGATGATTTATCCAAAATAAATCTCTTTTAAAAATTATATCACTTTTGTAATATAATCTAATAATAGTCTTTATTTAATTATACTTAATTTTACCTACAAACCGACCTCAGGAATAACATGTAAAAAAAAATCTAGTCAATCCATTAACTTCTGGTCCTTGAATTCTTCGAACGTTATGTTCTAATTGCAATTATGCACTAGTTTCTAATTAATGCACTTGAAAACAATGCATTTAGCAATCTTGAAAGAAATACAACTTATTTTTTCTAAAATTTTGCAATAAA